GAATCCACCGCCCACTCCACGGGAGAAAGATGTGGCCGTCTGCTTCCGTAAAGATTACAGCCTGGAAACCCTAGGGGCAGTTCTCCTGTGTCCTGTAGGGTCACTGTGAGTCGGAATCCGGTTTGGCTTTGGTTTTTCTCCCTAACTGTTACGAGATTTCAGTGACCTCATAGAAAGCAGCCAGGTCCCTGTGTGGTGCAAGCGGCTTGCAGTCGGCTGCTCAGCTAAACGTTGGCGGTTTGAACTCACCCAGTGGCGCGGCAGAAGAAAGGCCTGGTGATCTGCTTCTGTAAAGATTACAGCCGGGGAAGCCCTAGGGGCAGTTCTCCTCTGTAACAGGTGGCGTCGCCATGAGTTGGGGTCGACTCCACGGCAGCAGCGGAATTTTGTTTTGTTTGCTTTTTGATATACAAAGCAACCAGCTGAGAGCTACTGAGTGCCAGCCACCCGCCCTCCTGCCAGGCACCACTGAATCCATAGCTTCTACTGTTTCCCACATTTGAGAGATGAGGAAACTGAGGCGTGGGCGAACTGCCAGCAAGAAAGTGCTAGATCCCGGGCATACGTGCAGATTCCCCCGACCCCCAGTGCATCACGCAGGGTTGGTGTGCACCAAGTAGCAGGTCTGCAGCTGTGACTACAGTGTTAACTGTAGTTAGTATTCCGTCCTTGTGTTACCACCTTGCCCTGCCCCACAGTGACCTCCAGTGGCTGCTCTGAGTAAATGCAGCTGCCTAGGAGGCCTGGGTGCAGGCACCTCCCAGAGGAGCAGGTGAAAGGCTCCCATCCGTGCATTCTCCAGAGTGCCGTGGGGGCACGGGCCTTGGGCTTGGGGCCTTGTGCCGGCATCCTCCCCTGCTGGTGCACACCGCCTCCTGGTGGTCAGGCACCACATCACACTCCCTTCAGCAGCTAGCAGGAGTCCCTTCAATTCCAAGGTCATTTCCCAAGCCCCCCACTCCATGCCAGCACCCCCACCCTCCGTGGGCCTGGGGTGGACAGAGCAGCCCATGCCCTCACGGAGCCCACAGTCTGGGTGTAGGGATGAACAGGGAGCCATCAGATAAGGCAGACAGGGCTGAAGAATGAATTGAGTCCCTGATTTGGGGCGGGGGGGTCAGGGAGGTAGGCATCCACAGCCCCTATGTGTATCAGAGTAGGCTTCCTGGAGGAGGAGGCAGGGTTCTTGGGATGCGCTTTAGGGGATGTGTAGCATTCTGGATGGCTAGTCCTCCTCACCACAACCACAAAAGGGTGTCAGCGCCCCAGGCCCACCCAGCCCAGCAGCTGTAACCTTCCCACCCTGCCCCCAGGAGTGTTCGGGGGATGGGCTGCTTTGGCTCCAAGCCAAGCCTGCAGCAATAACCTGGGTGGATCCAGATGCCCCCCAGAGAGAACAGGAGCCACCTGGGGCCTGCTACCCGGGGCCCCTCACCCCGTGTTCCCCAGCGTGCCCCTCTGAACGCTGGGCCCGGGACCCTCCCTGAGGAGCAGGGGTCTGTGGATTTAAAAGTGAAGGGAAGAAACACTCCCTCCAAGAGCTTCGAAATTCCAAGGCTTAGGAAGTAAAGCACCTTTTTCAACGATCTCTGACCCTGTGCTCCACACGGAGGGGACCCCAGAGGCCCTTCTTTAAATGACACCCAACAATACGGCAACCCTGTTTATAGTCCAAACCGAGATGCGTTTGTGCGTGGGAGGCCGCTGTTCATAATCACATGGGGACATCTGGTGGAAGCTGGCGGGACATGTTCCCACAGCAGTTAACACCCTGGGGACACGTGGGCATGCTGGTCTGACCCCCGGCCACCTCTGCCAGGGAGGCAGCAGGTACAGAGGCCAAGGGCAGGGGCTCGGCCACCCTGCCGGGACCTGAGCTGCTGCTGGCCTCCAGCCAGAGTCTCCTGCTAAGTGCACAAGGCTGCCTGTGAAGTACCCCAGCCCCGTCCCAGCCTGTGCTCCAGGCCAGCAGGCCTCCAGGACCCCTGACGGGCCCTGCCCCTGGTACACCTGTGGCAGGCCGTTCCCCACGATGGCCAGCCCTGCCCCCTCCGCCACTCCCTATGCGGCACCAGGAGGGGGCGTTGCCTGGGCTGGACTGCTGGCTCTGTCTCGCTAGATCCCTGACCTTGAGTGGCTCAGGTAGCCTTCCTGGCCCCTTGTAAGTGTTCTGAGCATCCTTTGAGGCCCCTTGGATGGGCTGCTTCCTCCAGCAGCACACATGCGCACACACGCGCGCGCACGCGCGCACACACACACACACACACAAGCTCATGGCCTTTAGTAGGGGCTCCCCAGTGTCTGAGTTGGGTGGGCCCCGTGGTGGGGCTGGGCAGGGGTGGGCTTCTAAGTGGGGTGGGGGAAGGGTGAGGGCAGGAGAGCCCCCTGTGGGGAGGGGTAGAAGCTGGGGAAGGGGGCAGACTCCCTGCTGTGGTTGCTCCCCGAGTGGGCTGGGGGCTCCAGGCGGGGCTCACCCTGGCTCTGCCCCCCAGGTCGCTGCTGGCTGGACGCCCTGGAGCTGGCCCTGCGCTGCTCCAGCCTGCTGCGACTTAGCACCTGCAGGCAGGGCCGCAGCGGGGAGCCCGAGTCCTCGCCCGACACGTCACCCTCCTCACTCTACGTCCACACCGACCAGGACCTGTTCCCGTGAGTGGGCGGGCCGGGCGGGGCCCTGGTTGACACTAAGCACACACACGGGTTTCCTTTTACATGGGGATGGGGAGTTGGCGCATGGAGGCTCTGGCGTTGTCCCCCAAACCTCCCACCGGAGGCGGGCACTGGCTCCGTCCACCCCCTGTGGGCCCCGGCAGGCCCTGACCGCTCTCTGCCTGTCCTCCGTTTATAAATGGTCTAGCAACACGGGCAGGTGTGAGGTGCCTAGCAGTGAGGGGGACCTGGGCCCGGGTGGGTGTGCACGGGGTGAGTGCCCTCCGCCTGGCCTGGGGCCAGAAAGGACCCCTCCATCGGCCGGCCTTGTGTCTGTCCTCCAGACTGAATGGGTCGTCCCTGGGGAACCACCTGGAGAACGACGCTTTTTCCGACAAGTCAGAGAAGGAGAACGCCGAGGAGTCGGACAACGAGACCCAGGACCCCAGCCGGAAGACCACCGAGAGCGGCAGCGACCAGTCAGAACCCCGGGGCAGCCCAGTGCGCAGAGGGACCACGTACGTGGAGCAGGCCTCTGAGGAGCTGGGGGAGGTGAGAGCCGGGCGCACCCCCCTGCAATGGGGAGGACGGGCCGCAGTGACAGTGGGGTCTGCAGAGTCCTGGGGTCAGGGCCTGGTCGCCCCGTCCCACTGCGGTGCCTGAGCTGAGTCTCCATATGTGGGCACGCCCCTTTCACCTCCCCCGCCAGGCCCAGTGGGTGGACGCAGGGATAGCAGACAGGCAGCTGTGCTGCAGCTGGAATACACCAGGATGGGAGAGAATGGGGCTCAGGAGGGACCCTTGGCCCAGTCCAGGAGGGTGGCTCATTGGAGCGGACAGCTACACAGGGTGTGGTCTGCATGGCTGCTGAGCACCTGCTCATACCTGCACTGCCTGGGCCCAGGGAGGCCGACCTGGTCCCCGCCCGCGCGGGAAACAGACCACAGACACGCAGACACACACAGGGCGTCAGGGAGAGTAGGGGAGACCCGCTGGCCAAGCTCACAGGGACGCGGTGGGGCTGCTTTGACGTGATCAGGGAGACCTCCGTAACGGGCCTGAAAGGCAGGAGAAGGGACAGGTGATGCAGTGAGGGAGGAACTTGTGCCGAAGCCCCGGGCCAGGAAGCAGGCGTTGGCGCTTCCGTCCGGGCAGAGTCAGGTGGCGTGGCTCTGCTGTGGCACCAGGAAGAGCAGAAGTGGGTCACAGTGAGAGGCCTTAGGAAGGACCCACGCGACCTGGGGAGGTCCAGGAAGCGGGCTTTGCTCCGGGCAGGTGCTGTCGGGAAGTGGGGCGATTCCAGGGTTAGGGGTCATCATCACACCATCCAGAGGCCGGACGGCGGGCAGGGCCACCCCCAGCTGACCAGGAGCAGCAAGCTCTGATGCGGCCGGGAGACAGATGTTGGCTCGCGCCTGTGGTCAGGGGCCACGTTCTTGTCTTCATCTGTGCCCGGATGTAACTGTGGGGGGTCTGGTTTTGTCCGGCCCTGTCAGTCAGAGGGTGGTCTTGTCTGACGCCAGTGTCCTGAGGAGTCGTCTGTGTTCAAGCTGTCCCTGGGCAGGGGCCTCCTGCCACGGCGACCAAGTCACCCAAAACCCCGAAACAGGGTTTGGTAGCCAGGGCAGGGGGCGGCTCCTCCTGGAGCTCCATGAGGGGCGGGGTCTTCCCAGACCAAGGGGGGCACCCAGGTCTACGATCGAGGCCTGGGCTGGGGAGGGGCGCCCTCCTGGCCGGAGCCGGGCGTGCCTCCCGGGCAGGGGTCACATGGGCCGAGAGGGAGCGGGAGGTGTGCGCCCGGCGGGGCAGCGGGGTGCGTCCGCCCCTCCGTCGCCCCCTCACCGGCCTGACACGGCCTCTCCCACAGCTGGGCCGGGCGGCACAGGTGGAGGCAGTGTCGGAGGAGAACAAGAGCCTGGTCTGGGTCCTGCTGCGGCAGCTGCGGCCCGGCATGGACCTGTCCCGCGTGGTGCTGCCCACCTTCGTGCTGGAGCCCCGCTCCTTCCTCAGCAAGCTGTCCGACCACTACCACCACGCCGACCTCCTCTCGCGGTGAGCGCTGCCGGCGCCAGGTGTGCCCACGTGGGCCCAGCCTGCCAAGGCCTCTCCCGACTAGGAAGCCCAGAGCCCCGCAGCACCTTCCTGCCCCGCCGAGGTTTCCCAGGACCTCCCACCCACCCCCATAGCCCAGGCTGAGCTTGGCCGTTGTCCCCACAGGCTCTGGCCCTGTGAGATGCCCTGTCCCCGAGAGCAGCCCGGGAGGAGCTGGTGGAGAGGAGGGTTGGGGTGGCGCCCCTGTCACCTGCTCAGACAAGGCTGCCCTGCGCGGACGGCGCACTAGGAGCCGGCACACGGGGGTGGGGAGAGCCGGAGCTCTGGGGCCTCCTGGAGGCGGGGGCAGTGGAGGGGCAGCACAGCGCAGCCCCCCGTGTGGCGGTCAGGGAGACCCACTTCCCAAGGGAGGTCCCTGCTTCAGGGCTGCCTGGGCAGGAAGGATTGGCCCTAGTGCCGTCCCGAGGGGCCAGGATGCAGCGGTGTGGGTGGAGGGCGGGGTAGGGCACGGGCCGCCGGGGACCCAGCCTGACTCAGGGCTCCCTGTCCCCCAGGGCCGCGCTGGAGGGGAGCGCCTACGGCCGCATCAAGCAGGTGCTGCGCTGGTACCTGTCGGGCTTTTACAAGAAGCCTAAGGTGAGGAGACTGTGGGCCGCCGCTCAGCACCTTCCCCGGCAGCGCCCACCGCCCCCGGGCCACCCCGCGGCCTCCAAGGCCAACCCCAGGGTGGCCCGGTTCTCAGAGATGCGGGCAGGCCCTGACTTCCCACAGAGCGGGCTCCGGCCAGGCTGCGAGGGTGGTCCCCACTCTCCCCCTCTCCCCCCAAACACAGAGCCTCACGAAGGTCCAGGGAAGAGACTTCAACGGCCAGGCCCTTGAGGTGCTGAGCTTGGAGGCAGCTTTGGGGTTCGAGTTGGCACAGCTTGTTGTTTGGAGGTGGAACCCCTTCTTAGCACCCCCTCCCAGGACTCCATGAGGCCAGAGATGCTCTCGTTGTAGTGAAGCTGCAGCTCTGCCCGTCCCCCGACGCACCCCGGAGCGCTGGGGTTCCACGGGGCACTAGTTTGGAAACCACGGTTCTGGCTCCACCTCTTCACTGTGCAGACGGGGAAGCTGAGGTGCGGGGCGGGGAAGGCAGGCGGCAGTGTGGGGAGACCAGGCCTCTGACTGCCTGGTGCCTCCAGTGTGGGGTCACAACACCTGCAGCCGGGCAGACCTATGACACAGAGGTGGAGTCCCTCAGCCCAGGGCAGCCAGGTGTGCGTGCACAGGTGCTCAGCCACACAGGTAGTGTAGACATTCGGGGCCGAGGGAGCTCCCGGGGGGACTGTTCATAGGAGGATGCTCTGGGAGGCGTCTGTGGGCAGGGCAAAGTGAGGGCTGTAGACTCAGCCTCAGAGGGAGGTCGGGGGGCAGCAGAGGAATTGATCGGGAAACACAGGGGCTGCAGGTGCGGCTCAGAAAGGTGTCCGCCCCTCAGGTCAGTGCTGGGGACGCACAGACCTGCCCCCTGCACGCTCAGAACCCACGGCCTGTGGGGTGAGGCAGATGGTGCAGACACACAGTGAGAAATGGGGTCCCGGGGTGACGTGAGGTGTGACCAGGCCCCTGTAGATCCAGGGGTCTGAGCTGAATGAGCAGAAGCAGCGCCCCGTGGGGATGGGGGCAGGGAGAGCAGAGTCTGCTGGAAAACGTTGGGTCATCTGGGGGGCAGAGAGCTGGGGGCGCATCTGAATCTGAGGGAGAGAGGAAGGGGACCATCAGAGAGGCAGGCAGGCCAGAAGATTTAGGATTTTATTTGAAGAGTCATCAGAAGCCTCTGGACTTCGAGTGGGTTGGGTGGGCTCCACCCAAGTCCGGGAGGTGGGGTGTTGGTCGGTGTCCCCGCCCCTCGGAGCAGAGCAGCTGGCAGGACCAGAGTGGAACATAGTCTCCCCAAAGTAACGGTGGGTGCTGTTCCCAGGTGCTTCACCCTGCCTGCACGGTCTGCCTCAGAAGGCCCGTGCCCACGGGTTCCTCCCATAAGGCTCTTTGTCCCATGTCTGCAGGGGATCAAGAAGCCCTACAACCCCATCCTAGGAGAGGTCTTCCGCTGCTGCTGGTTCCACCCTCAGACCGACAGCCACACCTTCTACGTTGCAGAGCAGGCAAGCACCGCCCCCCACCCCACCGTCACCGCCAGCTCGGCGGCGGGCCTTCAGGGGCAGGGGGGGGTCACACCCTGGGTGCAGGTTTCTTGGTGGCCCATCATGGCTGGTGCCCACAGGGCTCTCCCAGAAGATGCTGACTGAATGAGCTGGCTGCAGACGTGTTGCCACGGCTGTGACAGCGGAAAGGTTTCCGTAAGAACGGGACAGAACCAGACTCCTAGTGACCCGGTGTGTGTCAGAGTAGAACTGTGCTCCATAGGGTTTTCAGTGACTGATTTTTCAGAAGCAGAGCTCCAGGCCTTTCTTCTGCTGGGTCGCTGGGTGGACTTGAACCTCCAACCTTTTGGTTAGCAGCCGAACGTGTGCACCATTTGCACCAGCCAGGGCCTCCTCCATAGGGAGCAGGACAGCTTATCTTGTCTGCCAGGGGCACTCTGGAACAGGAAGTCAAGCCTGCTCCAGGGCCCAGACCCAGGCCTGGCTCCCTGGGCAAGTAAGCAAGCTCTGGACCGGGGTAGGAATGTGGGCAGGGAGGCCTTCTCCTCGGGAAGCCGAGTCTTCACCTCAGTAGGCCACCCCTCTGTCCCCCCAGGTCTCGCACCACCCGCCCGTGTCTGCCTTCCACGTCAGCAACCGGAAGGACGGCTTCTGCATCAGCGGCAGCGTCACAGCCAAGTCCAAGTTCTATGGTGAGGGCGCAGGGGAAGGGCGGGCAGAGGGGAGAGGGTCATCTTGAATGGTGGCCGTCTGCATGGGGGACCACGCAGGTGGTGGAAGTTCTCAGAGCCCTTGGTCAGACAGAGCCCCGCAGTCAGGAGGAGCCCTGGGTTGGGCAGGGCCCGGGGTCAGGCAGAGCCCCGGGTTGGGCAGAGCCCCGTGGTTGGGCAGGGCCCGGGGTCAAACAGAGCCTGGGGTTGGGTGGGGCCCGGGGTCAGACAGAGCCTGGGGTCGGGCAGAGCCCGGGTTCAGGCAGATCCCCGCATCGGGCAGGGCCCGGGGTCAGACAGAGCCTGGGGTTGGGCAGAGCCCGGGGTCCGGCAGAGCCCCGGGTCGGGCAGAGCCCGGGGTCAGGCAGAGCCCCGGGTCGGGCAGAGCCCCGTGGTTGGGCAGGGCCCCGGGTCAAACAGAGCCTGGGGTTGGGTGGGGCCCGGGGTCAGGCACAGACCCACGGTCGGGCAGAGCCCGGCGTCCGGCAAAGCAGGGTCAGAGCCTGGTCCCTCCCCAGGCTCACGTTCCTCAGCCGTAAAGTGGATGCCATTTGCACGGATACATGAGGGTTAAAAGAGAGAACCTACAAGAAGAGGTACAAGCTAGGGCTGCTGTCCCATGTGGTAGCCACCAGCATCTCTGGGACTATTTAAGTTAATTAAAAGTCAATAAAGTTTAAAATTCAGTTCCTCAGTTGCACTAGTCATATTGCAAGTGCTCGGCAGCCACACGTGACCCGGGGCCACCTGTCCTAGTCTCCCAGCACTGCTGGAACAGAAACACCACGGAGCGGGGCGGGCTTTAAAGAACAGAAGTACATTTTCTCACAGTCCTGGGGGCTAAAAGTCCAAATCAGGGTCCAGGCCGAGTCGATTCCTTTCTTCTCAGTAGTTTCTGGCATTCCTTGGATCATTGTAGACAAGCCTCACATGGCATCTGTCTTCCCCAATGCGTGCCTGTCGCTGTGTCTCATCTGCTCCTTATAGCTCTCAGGTGATTAGGGTTAGGACCCAGCCTACTCTGGGATGGGCGCCTTAACATGACCAAGGAAGTCTTCCTAAATGGTATCGCATCCACAGGTATAGGCACTAAGGTTCCAACAGATTTTGAGGGACACGGTTCAATCCATAACACCTCCGTATGGGACAGCAGAACAGACAACATTTCCATCATCACAGAAAGTTCTGTCGGACAGCACTGCTCTAGATCCCCACGGCGGGGGCGCTCAGAAACTGTCCATCTCCACGCTTGTTCACTTATGGGCAGGTGTGTGCTGAGCACCTCTGTGTGCCCAGCTATCTTTGGGGTGCGAGGGAGGCCACAGGGGAGGGAACCTAGTGGCATCAGCACAGCCTTTCCTCCCCTGTCGCTGATAGAAGCCGCGATTCTCAGCCCAGAGTGGGGGGTCATCACCCTATCGGCTGCTGCCGTCGAGTTGACCCCGGTTCATGGCAGCCTTATGTACAACAGAATAAAACATTGCCCGGTCCGGTGCCATCTTCATAATCGTTAGTATGCTCAAATCCATTGTGGTGGCTATTACCCATCTACCTGTAACCAAAGCTGTTCCCATCGCGTCGATTCTGACTCAGCCACCTTATTGGACAGAGTAGAACTGCCCTGTAGGGTTTCCAAGGCTGTAATCTTTACTGACGCAGAATGGCACTCCTGTGGAGCCACTGGTGGGTTTGAACCACTGAACTTTTTGTTAGCAGCCAAGTGCTTACAGGGGTGTTTAAAAATTAGAGCAGGGGGTCAGGTTAGTTTGCAAGGTCCCCTCAGGACACCAGCCTCTATCTGGAGAATTCCTGGTTTAGTCACTGAAATAAAATGTTAACGCGTGGCAGGTTAAATAACTCGTCAGGACAGATGGCCCGTAAGAACTGGACAGGGATTTTACAGAACTGGAAGCTCAGAGAGCTTAAGAGACTCACCCACAGTCACACGGCTGGAGGTGCCAGGAACTCTCTTGACTTTCTGGAAGAGAGCTCAGAGCCTGTGACTTTGAGGTGTGGCCCCTGGGTCCCGAGAGTCTGTCCCCACTCACTGGTCCGACTGCCCCTTTTCTCTGCAGGGAACTCACTGTCAGCTCTGCTGGACGGCAAAGCCACGCTCACCTTTCTGAACCGAGCCGAGGATTACACCATCACCATGCCCTATGTCCACTGCAAAGGTGAGAGGCGGGGCGGGGCTGCCCCCACCCTGTAGGGCAGAACCCAAGCCCGTTCCATCAGTGAGAGCGCCGAGGGGTGAACTCTGCTGGTGTGGGTATGTTTGGAGAGCCTTATTTCACTCATTCTTTCGTGAATGATACTTTAGCTGGGTTTGCAATTCCAGGTACACTGTTATTTTTGGCCTCTATGAGGATATTTTTATTACTGCCTCCTGGCTTCCGTTGTAACTAATGATAAATCAGCTGTCTGCCTGTGTTATAGAATCTGTTTTTCTCTGTAGCTACTTATACCATCTTCTCTTTGTCTCTGGTGTTCCACAACTTCACCATAGTGTGTCATGGTTTGAATTTTTTTTAGCTTCTTAAATCTGGAGCTTCATGGCTTTGATCAAGCCTGGAAGAAAAAATCAGGGGTTGGTGGGGGTGGGGGGAATCACTCTCTATTGGTCAAATACTATTTTTCTCTTCTTATTGTACTAAAATCTACATAATATAAACTTGGCCATTTTAACCATTTTTAAGGGTACAATTCGGTAGCATTAATTGTAGTCACAGTGGTGTACAGCTGTCACCACTATTTCTAAAACTTCGTCACCCCAAACAGAAACTGTACTCATTAAGCAATAACTCTCCACTCCCCTCTCCCCCAGTCCTTGGTAACCACTAATCTACTTTCTGTCTCTATGCGTTTTTTGGCCGATTCTAGATATTTCATGTAAATGGAGTTGTACAATATTTGTATTTTTGTGTCTGACTTACTTCAATAGCATAGTGTTTTCAGAGTTCATCTACGCTGTGGCATGTATCAGTACTTCGTTCCTTTTTATGGCTGAATAATATTCCACTGCATGGGTAGACCACGTTGTGTGTATCCATTCATCCGTTGATGGACACTTGAGTTGTTTCTGCCTTCTGGCTATTGTGAATAATGCTGCTGTGAACGCTAGCGTACAAGTATCTGTTTGTGTCCTTGCTTTCAAGTCTTTTGAGAATATACCTAAAAAGTGGAATTAATTTCTGGGTCACTTGGTAATGCTGGGTCATTCTGAA